TTTTTTCGCTTTTACAAAATGAGTTTTTTATTTATTTATGCTTCCTTTGCTGAAAAATTCTTTTGCTGAAAAATGATGTCTGCACTTAAAGTTACGTTTTGTGGTTATAAGTATTTAAGAAATTTGTAAAATTTGAAAACAAAAAAAAAAGAAGCTTTTTGACTTTAAAGTGTTAAACAAATTGTCATAGGAATTGCGCAGAAGCAAAAAAAAAAAAGGATAAAAAACAAATTATTTTTTGCTTATAACGTTTGAAAACAGAACAATAGAAAAAAAAAATTTTTAATAACTAATTTAATTTAATCTTCCTCCAATTTTTTCTGCTACTAAATGGATGAGAATAAACTAAATTAAGTATTTACGTAGAACAAATGAAACATAGAAAGAAAAAGTCATTTTACGTATATAAAACAGTTGCAGTAATGGTTTTGTGATAAACATTCTTTGCCACTATTTCTGCTAAACGCCGTTTCAGTGAAGGCATCAGAGAAGCAACGGTAAAGCGGGTTTCACCTTTTTTTTTTCTTGTTTTTTCTTTCTAAATTGCAAATAAAATCTTTTTGGTGAATGACAGAAAGAAAAAATAACGAAAAAAATTTTTTTTAACCCAATAACAGTAAGTTTGTATTTTTTTTTGAAACAGCAAATGCATTGCAAATAACAGAAAAGTTACTGCTAAAAAAAAAGTGCAATTTTTCGACTAAAAGCATTTTGTTTTTTTTTCTTTTTTTTTATTTTCAGATTTTTTTTTTTGAGGAATTAGAGACAAAGACTAAGTTTTGGGAAGGAGGGTAAGCGATAGAAAAAAAATAAAAAAATAAAACTAAAAACTGTTCAACTAAACGAAGGTGTTTGAGGAGAATGTTGAAGTGGCTATGCACTCAGATACACTTTGACGGCAATAACAACAACAACAACAGCAGACTTAATCTTAGTGCAAAAGATGTTAGAGCTTGCTAGCTAACTTAGTTAGTTGCTTGAAAAACTATCTTTTTTTTGCTGTTGTTCAACTTAGTGCAAATAAAACTTGCTGATTTTTGTTGATCCTAAAAGAAATTAGAAAAACAAATTTTTTTTTTTTTCTCGGTTCAATCTTGTCGGTAAAGTTTCTTTTTTTCATAAAGAATAGCTGAAAAACATTTTTGGGGAAAAAAAAAGATTGCAAAAAATGGGGGAAAAAAAAAACACAGCGAGGCAAAAAATTTCTTCATCATTTTTGTTGTTGTCTTTGAATAAAAAAAAAAAAAATCA